TCCCAAAACACCGCCACATGATGCTTCGCATGTATTTTGATTGATGAAAAGGATAAGATTTACAATTTTGTATTAAATAATTGAAAACATGAGGACGTAGGGATTTATAATTAAGGGTTATTTTGGAAAGTAGGTTAAAAGTCACTTTTCATCTTTTAATCTAATTTAAATCATATCATCTCTCACGTTTTTTACACGTTTTTTTAAAAAATCAAAAAATTAACTTTTATCCATCTTTTCAAAATAACCCAGGACATCTTTTCAAATTAACTTTTTTTAAATCACATCCATCTTTTCAAAAATTAATTTTTCCTAGGGTAAATTACACTGACACCCCCTGAGGTTTATGTTTATTACAGTTCCCCCTCACATTTGAGAAATTACATCCCCTTCCTTGAGGTTTAAAATTTTATTACAGATTACTCCCTCAATTAGTTGACTGTTAAGTCAACTAACAAATTTTGCTAATGTCAACAATTTAATTTTTTTAAATACCAAATTTTCCCTCATTGGGTAAATTATATTGATACTCCTCATATTTTAGAAATTACAATATCCTCCCCAAAGTTTAAAGTAGCATTACCAATTGCCCCCTCGGTTAGTATTAGTTGAAAAAAAAATCATTGAAAAAAAAAATTAATTGGGAAAAAAATTTATTAGTCAAATTTTTAAATTTCTATTTAAAACCTAACGTAAACTCATTTTTTGAATTTACGTTTTTTCCTCAAATTTACAAACTTAGACAACCATTTATAAACCAAAAAAAATTATCAAAGAAATTTTTATGACAGATTTTTAAATTTTTGTAAATATAAATTGAAGACTAAAAACGAAATGGTTATCAAATAGGCCTCAGATTGTAAAAATGTCGTAAAATTAACAAATAATTAAATAAGTTACCAACATAAGAAATGATTTATCAAAAGATTCTTAGGTTATGTATGGTTTGATTTTTAGAAAATTTTTCTAAAAATTAAAAATTAATTTGGTTAAGAAATAAAAAAAATTATCATTTTTATATAAATTTTATCTTTCGAGTGATTAGAAATAATTTTTGTAAATATAAATTGAAAACTGAAAACGAAATGGTTACCAAATAGACCTCAAATGGTAAAAATGTCGTAAAATTAACAAATAATTAAATAAGTTACCAATGTAAGAAATGACTTATTAAAAGATTCTTAGGCTATGTATGGTTTGATTTTTAGAAATTTTTTTAAAAAATTAAAAATTAATTTGGCTAAGAAATAAAAAATAAAAAATAATTATCATTTTTATATAATTTTTATCTTTCGAGTGGTTAGAAATAATTTTTTACAAATTAAATATGTTTTTTCATATTTATTTTTATTAAATTAGTTTTTTTTTTAAATGTCGAGGGGTCCGTATTAAATTGAAACATCAAGGGTGTCAATGTAATTCATTCTTTAGAATATATGTAAAAGTTAAAAATAAATATGTCATTTTAACTTAAAAATTAATACCGTCAAATAATTATATTGATAAAGAAGGACAGTATAATTTCTTAAATATTTAGAGAAACTGTAACAAAAATAAACATCAAAGTGACAGTGTAATAAACATCAAAGTGACAGTATAATTTCTACTGTATTTAAGAGCGAGTGGTGAGCGAGTGTGATAACAGAAGGTTAGAGAGAGGAGAAATTATTCATTGCAAAGGAGCATTGCTCCACCACTGTGTTTGAGAGAGAGTAGTGACTGAGTGTGTGATAACAGAAGGTTAGAGAGAGGAGAAATTATTCATTGCATAGGAGCATTGCTCCACCGTATTCATGTTTAGACAAGTGTCCAATTGTCTCTCTCAAAGGAGACAAACAAACAGTGAGACACACTGTTTCAACCGATAATAATTAAGTTAGAACACCGTCTAGACTTGCTCCCGGGCAATGAATAATTTCGAGAGAGAGAGAGGGATAGGGATAGGGATTTTAATAAAAAGAAAGGAATGCAGCAGCACCTCATGCAGATGCAGCCCATGATGGCTACCGTCACTACTGATCACATTCAACAGGTACCTCTTCCACTCCCTCCTCTCTCTCTCTCTCTCTCTCTCCTACCCTTTTATTTCTGTCTTCATTATTGATTGTTTTGTTATTACAATTATCTATCAATGAGTTTTGTTAATTTGGTTTTCTTGTAATTGATGTATGGTCTAGTTTTAGTTAATTTATCTTACTGCTATCCAACGTTTCAAGGCTTTCATTTCCTAAAATCTTAATCTTAATGTTGCCTCCGGAGGGAGAGCTGAATCTGGCCTTTGGGGGCTTTGTTATTCTCTTTCTTGTTCCTTTTTAATCTGATTGATTTTGTAAAATGGGTTATATGTCAATTTAATGATCCCCTTATCATCTTTGAAGGGTTTTATTATTGAGGTATCTGTCTCTTATATATATTGCAGTTAAATGGTATTTACAAGAAAAAAAAATAATTCCCAATCAGAAGTATGTTTCCCAATATTGCAAAATCAGTGAAATCTTGGAAAGTAATTGCAAAGATTAATGTTGTGTTTGGTTAGGGTATTTGGGAAGGAATTTAGAAAGGGAAAGGGAAAAGGTGTGTGAAATTAGTTGAAAGATATATATTTTATTCACATTTCACCTACATTTTTTCTTTCTATTTCCAAATCCCTTCCCAAATCCCCCAACCAAACATAGCGTGAAGAAAGAGATGGAAAGAAGAATTTTTTAGGACTCTAAGCCAAATGTTGTCATTTGATGAACCCCTCCCCTCCAAGCAATTTTGTTGCTCTCTCCACACAACAACGCTTGAGGAATGCGTTGAATGTGTGAAGAGGTCAAGATCCACAATGAGCCCTTTGCTTGAATGCATTGCCAATGGCAAGTGAGGTCATTTCCCCTTCTCCCCTTCATGCAAGTGCTATGGTTACATTATATAGCCATGTAGCACAGATACGTATATAATACGGATTTGATGATACAACGAAACCTAAAAACATAAAATACGAGTTCAGTCAGGATACATTCATTAAAAATATATATTTATAATTTTTAGTCTTGTATTACACATAAGCTCAAAGAATGGTGAGAAATTATTCTTTTGGAATTAAGTATCAGTTTAAAAGCCAATAGTTAGTTTACTATTTTTGTTTTTTTTTTTTTAAGTCTTATAAAATGTTTATTTAAATATCAAGTCTACGCTATTTACATTGCCCCCTTGTGCTTTCCATTTCACGCTAAGTATTATATGCAAAACTTGCACAAAATTTTACTTATTTTATTGTTAAAATATGGCTTTTGTATATCATTATATTTTACCTTTACTTTTAATAAAGTATGGATATGGATATGGACATGGAACACATTACACATTGAAGATACATCATTTTGATAAATTCTAAAAAATAACTTCAATTTCACTATTTTCTTCTTCTCTAAGAAGTAAGCAAAGTATTGAAAAATTATTCTTGTATTTATCCTAATAATTGTACTCTAATGTTATGCAAGATTATCCATGCTTCATAGGTTAACGATTATAGAGAATGTGAAGAAAGAAGAGAAAGACACTAATTTTGCTGAGGTGTGTGTGTAGTGAGAATGAGAGACATGGGGGAAAGGGAAGACAAAGAAGAAAGGAAAAGAGAGAAAGGATCTGGGAGTGGTATTTGGGATAACCCTGCCCCATAAAAATCTGACTCCATGAGATCGAAATTATTTTTTGGTTTTCCATTTTTGCTGATATTTGGGATAACCTTCCCACTAAACTGATATATCTTTCCCCAAATGCCATTTAACTGCAATTTCCCATATACAAATATTTGATTTAGTCTTTTTTTTAAAAAAAAAAATTCATTTTCATCCTCAAAGCTTTGTGATTTGGTACTTTTGTTTCTGAATAGCAAATTGGTAGGCTTTTGTGTGGTTATGTTTCTATCACATAATTTATGGAAACGGTATTTACACCTTATTTTTAATCATCCTTTGAAAGGAGTGCGATTGCCATTTTTCTTATGTATTTAGTTTTTGGGTATTCTTTTTGTTGATTATTGTCTATTGTTTATTGTATGTGCAATTTGGTATTTGAGACATATGTTTAAAGGGTGAATTGACACAATATGTGGGTGTAAGACAAATATAAGAAGCCACAGAGAACATGGGTTGTGGCGTTAAAAAAGAAACACCACTTTTCAGAAGCATATGGTCTAATAGTCAAATGTGGGTGTAAGACAAATATAAGAAGCCACAGAGAACATGGGTTGTGGCGTTAAAAAAGAAACACCACTTTTCAGAAGCATATGGTCTAATAGTCAAATGTGGGTGTAAGACAAATATAAGAAGCCACAGAGAACATGGGTTGTGGCGTTAAAAAAGAAACACCACTTTTCAGAAGCATATGGTCTAATAGTCAAATGTGGGTGTAAGACAAATATAAGAAGCCACAGAGAACATGGGTTGTGGCGTTAAAAAAGAAACACCACTTTTCAGAAGCATATGGTCTAATAGTCAAATGTGGGTGTAAGACAAATATAAGAAGCCACAGAGAACATGGGTTGTGGCGTTAAAAAAGAAACACCACTTTTCAGAAGCATATGGTCTAATAGTCAAATGTGGGTGTAAGACAAATATAAGAAGCCACAGAGAACATGGGTTGTGGCGTTAAAAAAGAAACACCACTTTTCAGAAGCATATGGTCTAATAGTCAAATGTGGGTGTAAGACAAATATAAGAAGCCACAGAGAACATGGGTTGTGGCGTTAAAAAAGAAACACCACTTTTCAGAAGCATATGGTCTAATAGTCAAATATGTTAGTGTTAGAATGCAATTTTAGTTAGGTTTGACAATTTTTTAGGCAAAATTTATTTGAGTTGTATTTGCCTTTGAGATTTAATTAATTTTAGAAGTCCGATTTCATTATCAAAGAAAATTCATATCGACGAAATCAAATTCTTTCATAGTTGTAGTGGATCTAATGGTTCAGTCCAATAGCTAATCTAGCATAGAGTCCAAAACTAAAATATCCCTTCAATGCATTCTAGGTTGGACAATTGAGAGAGGTATCCAACAAGGCAAATAATGCAGAGCCAAAATTGTTCTTGGAAGTGGAAAGTGGACAGGTAACGTCTATTTCATTTTTTTGGCAGTGGTTACTCAAGTTGTTTATTATGGACTTCTGTTTTGGTTAAGTCGTATGGGTTTTATGATATGCACATGGAACTCTACATGTTGAATATGATGCGCACAACTATGCAGGATTTGCGGCCGATTCCTCCACCTGTGAAGAGCAAAGAGGAGATTCTTCTTTTTTTTTTTTCAAACTTTTTGACCCTTTGAAAGAGGAGCTTAGGTACTTAACATTTCTTTCCTTGGGTTGAACTTGCATGTAATTACCAAGGACTCTTTGTTTCCCTTTTCGGTTAGTTATTCAGGTTTATTTTTTTTCATTTTTTCCCCCTGTTGTCAGGTATGTTGGGCGGTTGTTTGTGAAGTCGAATGGCAAGCTAGCAGAAATATTGACAAAGTTAAATGAGTTGGCTGGATTCAGTGAAGAAATTGAACTCTTTGAGGTCGGTTATTTCATTTTAGTAGATTGACTGCCATTTTCTTGCTCCCTTGCCTGGCCACATAGCAACAGATTTAGTTCAGACAGTCATCTTACGCACCCCCTTTAATGTTCAGGAAATAAAACTTGAATCTAATGTCATGTGTGAACGCATTGACAAGAAGCTCACCTTTCGTGGTAGTCAGGTATGAACACGATCAATTGTGAGCTGTTTTTGCTTGTACATTCTGCTCTGGTGTGTATAGCCTATTCTTTTTTTTTGGTGGTCGGATATGCATTAACCATGACTAGCTGAAAGGAAATATTCACCTAAATCTTCTGCAGCTTGAAGATGGTGACATCATTTGCTTTCAGAAATCCACTCAAGTTGAAAGTAGTGAACAATGCCGCTATCCTGATGTTCCTTCATTTCTGGAATATGTGCATAATCGTCAGGTGTTCCATGAGCCTTCACAATGTGACATCATTATCTTAGAGCTTTTATGCAACATTGTGAGCATGCCAAATTTTCTGATATACAAGGTCAAGCGTATAGGACTCTTTGGAGGCTCTCACATGCCAAACCTTTGAAATTTATTGAGCCACAATTAAATACTGACTCAACCACTAGTTAACATTATGTCACAAAAATCCAAGCTCACAAGCCAGTGAATTCCTTTTATTTTTTGATTGCCCACAAACTCGACATTCCGGAAGGAATCCAAATGGCTAAAATTGGTATCCCACAAAGTTACATGGATGCAAACTCATGTTACATGGACTCTTATATATTTCACAAGGTTCATGTGTCCACCGGATATGACAGGAGTAAAGGTGTTGGATATGTGTCCGACACCTATACCCAATTAGACACATGATCCTCAAATTTTTATTATGTCACATAATGCACCTCTCACAACCCCCAAAGCACCACTGTCACCTACTTCCCATAGTTCCACCATCGCTTGCTGCCCATAGTCCTACAACCCCAAATCAGTGGGCAATAAAATCCCCATGTTTCTCTGTCTACATTAAGAAATAATACGTTCATAAAATGTTTGTAACTGAGATGAGGATATGGTTAAATAGATATTTGGTCGAAGTACAAAAGACAAAATAAAAAATGAATTGCTGGAAATTTGTGTTAATACATATAATATGATAGTGGTGTTGGTGGTAGATAGTGGCATGTATAGAATATGAT